TCTTACAAACACACACATACACACACACAAACACACACACACACACACACACACACTAAACACACACAAACACACTAAACACACACAAACACACACGTACAACACACAAACAGGTACACGTACTGTGCGCTCAGGTGTCAAAAAAATATACAACGATTCCTCAGAACACGACCTACCCTTAGAGCTGAAACCGTGCCAAAGCCAACACCAACGTACACACACACAGAGCGATGTCTCTGGCTTGGCACCAGCAAATAGCTGTACAATCATGTATTAGCTTTATACCCCCTCTGTAACTGACGATAACAGGGCTGAGCACAGACTTACTTGAGTTATAATATATGAGGCATCGCAGTGAAATCAGGCGCTCGTCAAAACAAAGTCAAAGAAGAAACTAGTACTTTTCTTCCGGTAAAGCAGTTTTTATCGAATTTTATAAAACTTTTATTGTCTATTAAAAAACGTATTTCAGTTTGTATTTAACTGAAACACTTTCATTAAAGGCACGAAAGAGTAAGTTTTCAGTTTCAAAGGACTCTCAAGCTATGATAGCTTCCAAACTTTGACGGCTATTTTCTGGCTAATTTTTACCTATGAAACTAGGTAACACCCTCCTTCATACTCAAATATCTCGCCATCTATTTATGACAGATGTATATTTTTAAATCGAAAGCAAGGCAAATGAACAAGTTTTAAAATGATGCCAATACCTCCACATGCCCGAAATTGACTAGTGCCTACTTCCACCGCGTAATGATTCAAATAGCTATGCACTTCACTTGTAAAATAAGATAACAGGGCTGGGCATAGACCTACTGAGTTATGATAATACCCTAGATCGAATAACTGTAAGTCATCATTATAGAGTATTTTGATCTTTTCGATGGGACATTGTATCCGTTTCCCAAACGATCTACCAAGTTGTGTTGATAGTAGCGTAAAAGGCCTAGATTTTAAAAGAAAGTACGCCAGAAGATTTAAATGGATCAAGATCTGATTAAATACATGCTTGAATCCAAAACAGAGGATTCAAGCACGGTGTACTTAATTACACAGATTAGCCAGGTGCCTCTAATTCGTTGTTAGAATACTGAAGTAAAACGTGTCAAAATCAGAGGCTAGTCTTGTGAATGTTTAGATATATGAAAACATTAACATTTTTCAAGCACTAAAACTTCTCGTTCTTTTTCTCTTTCAAAAACAAACCAAAACAAAAAAGCAACAAAAAAAAGCAAACAAAATTTACAATGCGAAAAACAAACATACAAAAAAAAAAACACACACACACACAAACAAGCCAAAACCTGTGAGTAATTATTAATAGTATAAAAGTATATCCAGAGTATATGAAGAAAAAAAAAGTGCTCACCTCTCGATGACCTTGACCCTGAGGCTCATGACATGAAAGACAACCCGGAAACACACCAAGCACAACCTTCCAGGCTTGGATTTCCCATTATAACCGTAAAAACACACATTATCTTACCGTTTTTCGCCAGTAAAATGACTGTGGCGTTGACAAGTCGAGCGTTCTTTGCCATGGCATTCCGTGGAATTCGGTGGCTGGTCGGGGGGAACGGCGTAAACACTTTGGCCACCAGCTCTGCTGTCGAAACCGTATTTTTGTTCTCGTCGTGTTATAACATGTCGTACTCTCGTCCTCTTCTTCATCCCGACATCTTCCCCACCCTGTTGAACTCGTCCAAGTTCTCCTCGTCCTCCTCCTCCTCCTCATCGTCATCATCACCATCATTGCCGTATAGAAAAAAAAATGAAATGGAAACTTGAATATTATTATACTTCCAATGCTATGTTCCTCCTCCTCCTCCTCCCCCTCCTTCTCCTCCTCCTCCTCTCTCTCTCCTCCTCCTTCTCCTCCTCCTCCTCCTCCTCCTCCT